CAGATACGAAGATTATTAGTGTAGCATTAAAATGAGAAAGGAAAGAAACAAACCTTCTTAATGAGAGCATACAGCTTCTTCAAAGAGCTAACAGAGTATGGAATCTCTGTCATTAAAATAATGTCATAGCCACCATCCCCTTGATCTGCCTCGTTAGCTCTTTCCCATGCTCGACTTCCTGAGAGTTTCCTAGACCTTCTTGAACTAGATTCATGTCCAACAATGCTGCCTTCTTGACTACTACATCCATCCAAAAAATCTTCCTCGGAGAAGCTCAAACTCATTCCAGGTGTCACTTCATATCCATCATTTTTCACAGTCGACAATACAGCTGGTAGTTCATCCCAGTCCCCAGCATAAAAGTTAACTGATGGTGCCAGAGTCTGTCTTGAAGGAGTAAGGGGAGTTTCTGGCTGTCGACTCTGCCTATCACGAGCTTGCTTCAGATTACCAAGGACATTTGGTATAGTTGTGCATCTTATAGTCTCTGCATTCTGATCTTGAAAATGCACTATGGAAGCTCCCTGTGAAGTAAAGAAGCATTTAGATGAAAAGAAGCATATTATTCCAATGAAATTATAACTATTATTTGTTATTTTCCAAACCAAAAGACACAAAATTATAACTATTGTTTGTATGTTTGCAATGTTACCAAAAAGGAATCTTAAGTCTTAAGGTTGGTTGCACCAGAACATTGTTCTGTCTCTTGTAAACTTTTGTCAACACATGGAAGGTATAAAAAGAAGGTGCAAGAACACTGCATTGGGAAGCCCAATTTTGAAACTGTTACATTGAATAATTTAAACCAAAAATTCTGATTGTATTTCACGTATTGAAACTACAATAAACCAAGACCTACACAAACTAGATAAATTCCAGCTATCAAATACACACAAACTAGTGACAAATGACTCAAAAAAAGAGATACTGAGTACTGATACCTCAAGTACAACTATATACCTTTAAGCAAGCAAAGATTCCAGGAAGTCCATAGCTACAATTGAGCTGCAAGAGATGTGAAGTAGAATATTAAATTATGAATTATAAACTCTTAAATACCACTTAAATTAGTTGAAAAATATGGATTAAGGGAGAAAAAAAGAAAGCAATTTCATGACGATGTAGCTAATATTGACAGCAATTGAAAAATGAGAGCAAGAGAGTGAAGCACAAGGAGAATTAAAGACAAGCAAATCAAGACATAATAGCACGCAATAATCTCTTAAACAAGTTACCTCAAGTACTCTTTTTCCTCTGAAGGACAGTTGCCCATCGCGAATCTCATTCTTAAGAACACTGACAAGATCAATGGAACTGGCCCAGGATTTTAGATAGCCTACAAAGTCAGATAGATCAATCTGATACGGCCCTTCCTTTGTATTGATTGAAAACAAATTATATGTATAATATATCAATATGTAATTGTTAAAGGATATTATCCTCAACAAGAATCATGTTATTATTTTTCTGACACAAAATTGGATTTTTAGGTTGGTTAAATAATTTGAACTGATACCGCATTAACCTTAGGGACTGTCCTTTCCTTTCATGCCAAAAAAGTTTTTGCTCTGAATACAAAGCATACTAAGATTCTCTGCTATATTAATTTGTTAAATGTGTTATTTTTACATAGTAATGCACTAGAAAGAAAATACCGGTTCACAGGAAAACTATCACATGTCCAATGGCTACAGACTGAAATTTCATGTACATACCATCCGGTCTTGAGGATATTGTCTCTGAACCACCAAACCCCATGATATCAGCAACACTTACTATTCCCTGCAGAAGGTTTAAGATAGCATCAGTTTCCTCCCAGGTATTAAACTAACTGATATACGATAAGCTCTAAAATCATGTCAAGATTGTTGAAGACAAAAAACCTGAGAAATTTTTCAAGAAAATGAGGAACCGAAAGAGTTCTTGTTAAGAAATATTCTAAATTCATCATTCAAAAGTGCACGAGGTACGACAGATATGAAAAACTAAAGGATCTCGTTGGACACATTTGGAAAACATGCCTTTGGCAAAATAATATCAAAGGATAAAACCTGCATCCCATTTTATTGATATGGATTTTGGGTGCATGTAATTGTTTGCCAACTGCACCACATCCCAACAAAGAAAGTTATTTTATCTTATGGTCAAATTAAAAAATCAAAAGATACGCATTGAATGATTGAACTTCCGGCCACACAGTTAATATATAATTTTATGTAATTGTCTTCCTATTGATACTAACCAAATGAAAGAATGGAAACCAATCTGAAATCCTTCCACTATCATTGATTCAACAATAACACTAATTTCATATAAAAAAAATTAATTAAGGACACGATCCATCTAATTGTGCCACCCTCAGAAAACAATTACTATGAAATGAACTATGTTGAGAGACGTACCTTAAAATGGTCAATATTTTCCCTGCCTTCCTTGTCAGTGTGAAATGCCTGCAGAGCACATATTTAAATCCGTTACACTTCCTCCCACAGTAACCCCAGAAGCAAGCAAAAAAATCAACTAAAATGCCTTAAATGCAAGGTAAAGTTTCTTTTTTTGTTGTTGGTTGATTAATGGGTGATTAATTGCCCGAAGATAAAAATGGGAGTTGTACCTTTGAAGGAAGAATCTCTACTGCCGGTGACGCAAGATGAATATCTTTCTCAAAAATGGAGGATGCTATACTGAGACTTCCGCGGTCATGAGGCACTAGGCCAGGCAGGCATTGTGCGAGTATTGCCGGTGCACGCATCGTAACTGGTTCTAAGAAGCAATCTCCCGGAACTGATAAGATAAACTATTATAAATTAGAATTCGCGATAGGATACACCACTAACACTAGCTATCAAACCGTTACACTTACATCACACCAGTTAATCACTTTCAATGGAATATGATATCAACCAATCAAACCATTAACTCATGCAATAACAATCATGATCATGTATTCCAAGTTTCAGATTATTCGGACATTTAAATGTATGTCACCTAATAATGACATTTACTTATATTTCCATAACACTTAATATATATACTACTATTAAAATAAAGCAGTTTAATAACACAGTATTATCAATATTCATAAACTTGAAATACCTATTCCATAAGCAATATCACATTCTAACAAAAGTTATTTAGTGTAAGTATAAAAATCTAGCATCCGGTGTTAATTGATCATATCACTCAGAACTAAATAAATAATTAAACAATAATCAGAAACATCCAATTGCAGTGTTTATTTGATGAAATATTTGTAGACTCATAAATCAAGAAAAAAAAACTATACACATACACAAAAAATAAAGTTAAAAAAAAAAAAAGTCTCTATCACAAACAGTAATTCCTTTTTCCAAAAATGTTTAAGCACAGACAAATAAAATTTCCTTCACTTTTAATCTCAAAAGAAAGGGCAAAATTTTGGTTTCCAATTAACAAGGAGATTGAAATCGAAGGTTCTGTGAGTAAGAAAATTAAGCGATAAAGATAAAATCAAGAGAATCAAACAATAATATATAAAATTTGAAGTAAAATTCATACTAATTAGACATGATCATAAAAATAATTATAATTATTAAAATGATAATTGAGGAATCGAAGAATACCTGATGGTAGAAGAAGCAAAGAGAAGAATCTGAGAGTACGATTTGGTGATGAAATGAGAAATGCGATTGAACAAGTTTTCAAAGATGTGTAAAGACTAAAATGGAATGTAAGCAAGAAAAGAAATAGAAAGGAGAAACAGAGAAGAAGCTTCGACGTCAGAGCCTGCATTGGAATTCCCAAAATACCCTTATTGGTAGTTGAGCAATGTGTTGTGGGGTCTTATCAGATCGCATGCTTTTTGTCTTTTTTTCTTTTGGTAAAAATAATGCACGTAGGTGTTCACAATGGAATATCGAATAATCCCGTTTTCAATAGCATTATTATATTATAGCACTCTTTTTTAGACAACGTAATAGAAATATGTACGGGTTTTTTTAGGTGTACTAACCCACACTATAAACGATTCTTTTAATTATTTGAAACCAAAAGTTCATTTATATATTTTTAATTCCAAAGGATATACATATTTTTTATGCTAGTGTAATATTGATATTTCCGATCAAATATGTTAGTATCAATTATCAAAATTTGTAATTGGTATTATAATATATAGTTAGTGTCTAAAATTGGTGATCCATGTTGAAATATGTCAGGATCAATATCCAAAATTGATGATGATATTGAAATATGTCAAGATCAGTGTCCAAAACTTGTGATTAGTATCGACGTGTCAGAATCTTTGATTTGGTTCGTTGTGACGTTCTTATTCTCTTTTATTCATTTCATGGATTGAATTCAACCCCAATTTTGTTTTCTTCTTTTCAAAACATGACAGTGAGCTGACCTTAAGAGGGAAAGGAACGTTCTTTTGAATTTCCGATCCACAGCTGGTCCACCTGTGTATTAGAAGACCAGATCTTTTCTATTCTATTTTATTAAAATCAAATTTTCATTACAGTACCTATTGACCATTTTAGGTTGCTTGCAGGGATCAGATCCATTTAATTAATACAAATTGAAAAGTAAACGCAATTTTTTCTAGTATTTTATCAAATGTCGTCACAAAAGAAACAAAAAGAGAATTCAAAACATAGAATATATGATCACAAAATGTCATAGCTGTGTAGAATAATTTACATTGAACAATTGCAAACGATTTAATTGACCAAATGCTTTGAAAAAGTGCACAGTTATTGAATAAAAAAACTCAACAAGACGGGTGGTCATACATGATAAACAACAACAAAGGCGACAAAGGTTGTGGCCTATATCTACAGCCATACCCTAACATATACATGTTCTTCAATTACAGCCTACAGTAAAAGAGGTTAGATCATGTAAAGTTATGTCAATGGAGTTAAAGGCCTAATTAGGTTCTAAGTCATGACATCATTCACAAGTTGCAGTCATTTTTTCTCTACACTTGTTTTGGACCTACCTATGCATGTGCTTGTGATCTATTGAAGAAATTCCTCCAGCATAAAACCATCACCAATAATTTCATAATCAAGTTCCAGCCCCTCATGTCCATCAAACTCCTTTAGCCCCACCAATGTCTCAATTGCAAACTCTTGGTCCACAGCAAAATATTCCAAAGGACTGTCCATGTTTGAATAAAAAATATCTTTTTTCCTAGGCGAGTTACAGAATGAAGTTTCCTCATAATCCCAATCAAATTCTCCTTCAAATGGCCAAAAAAGTGGTTCATCACAATTGAATGAAGAGATAGTAGAAACTGGAGGAAGAACCACATTACCCCAATTTATCTTATACAATGAGACCGGAGAACCATCCTGAAAACACTCTAGTCCTTGATTAGAGTCTGAAATACATTCACTGTTTTCTTCTTTGTCAAGTCTGAGTAAGGAGTCCCAATAAGTTGGTGTGCCTACATCTGAGATATCGGTGAAAGAATCACCACTTAAGCTTAGAGGGCTAGAAGGGCTCTCAGATATTATCGAATCTGAGAGCCATTCAGAATCTTCATCTTCAAGATTTAGTAAAGAAAAAGAATGCCAGTAACTTACTTTACCCATATTCCATTCACGATCTTCCTCTTCAAGTTTGAGCAAGGAGTCCCAGTAACTAGGTGTGTCCACATCTGAAAACTCAGTAAAAGAATCACCACTGTAGCTTAGAGGACTAGAAGGGTTCTCAGATATCATTGAATCTGAAAGCCATTCAGAATCTTCCTCTTCAAGACTCAGTAAAGAGTGCCAGTAACTTGTTCTGTCAAAATCCGAAATCTCCGAGGAAGCATCAAAATAGGTGGATGAACAAGTGCTGTGGGGAGACCCTAAGCTCTCAGAGTAGCTAACTGCATCATCTACAACAGTTGCAGCATTCTCCGTTCTCTCATTTGGTGTGCTTTTGTCACATAAAGAAACATTCACTTCAGATTTTATCCCACTGCAGCTGAAAAAGTTGACATTTTCCCTCAGCAGAAAGTATGAACTTGTCACTAAATACAACCAGAAAGCCAACCAGTTATTGGTATCAGAGTGAAATGAAGCAGAATAGCCATTCTCTTCGAAAAACGGCAAAGACTTTCTCCTGTTATCAAAGACTTGATGAAGATCCATGCCTTTCTTTGATGATGATACTTGAGGACAAACAATAGCCAATTCTGTCATGCAATGTTACATATATAGGTTTAACCAAAGAAACAGTGACAGTGACACACTGTTACATTTATAGTTTTAACCAAAGAAACATAAGGGTAACTTACAATTTTCTAGAATAGAGAAAAAGAAAAAGAGAATATAAAACAATAAAATAAATGAAAGTACATATCTCAACACATGACAACGACTAGCTACCATCAATAATTCATCAAAAATAAAAAAAATAATATCACTAACTTCAGAAAATAACAAAAACAGTTGCAAAAAACAAAGTAAATAAAAATAAGTGATTAACAATGAAGTATAGAATAAACCGGAGTAGATGTAAATAAATCTGTGAAATATTTTCATCATAGAAGCAAATTACAATGTGACAGTTTTGGTACTTAAAATTTGGTACCAAACAGAACTCCTCTTGAAATCTAAAGAAAACAAAATATTTTCAGAAATGGACGGTGGATCCTGAGTAGATCTGCATAAGATGAAGCTACTGAGTTAATAACAGATCATTCATCTAATGCAGTCCATTTGGCATTTGAATATATCATAAATTTATTGCATTGAAACTGCTTTATGATTGCAGAGATAAATACGAAGATGAAAAAGAGAACAACGAGTGTGAGTAATTACAATCATGCAAATCAGAACAAGAGTAATCGAAAGTGAACTATGAATAAAAAACTTTACCTGAGTGATTGATTGTACGGGAAAAGTGAAGCACAGTTCCAAAAAGTGAGATAGAGTTTCGAGATCGAGAGTGATAAACCCTAGAAAAGACAAAGAAAGTGCGCCGCAAAAAGATGAAGTGAATTTTGGAGGGTGAAGATTTTTCATTTATATTAAGTGAAAAAAGCCAAAAATGGAAGTTTTCGCGCTAACGCATTTTCGCGCTTTTGATTGCAATGCTGCCAATGCAAATAAAATATCTTCAATTTTGTCTTATCTGGTCGGCAACAAAATGTTACGCCACGTCATCGATCCGTTTAGAGTCTAATCTTGCATCTCAACCGTAGCTTAATCTCCCATTAACGGTTTAAAACACTAGGCATGCTAGGAGAAAGACTGTTACCGCTATGGATGTGCTTTGGTTTTTTGTTGGTTGTAATTGATGATTATTTTGGGATTGAAATGTTACAGTAATTTGGGGGAAAATAAAATGTGTAGGGATAGATTGGAAATGAATTTGCTTTTAACAAATATGTATTCCGTTCTATTTAATGCTAGTGTTACAACTCTCTAATTTTTGCTTTCTCTTTTCTAGTACTATTTCAGTAGCTCAATTCCATGTTTTTCTTTTATTTCTTACCTTGAACTGTTTACCATAATTGTTATGATTTTATTGGTCAAATTTAACAATTTTTGTTAACCATAAAACCGGAGCTGTGACCTTTCAAAATTTTAAAATATTGAATTGCAAGTAACATAGGAGTAATTATTTGGTCCAAAAGTTTTTTTTAATGAAATTTGGTCCAAAAGAATATGATTACTTTATTCATTGTACTTGGTGAATTTTTTACTCAAATAATTCAACTTTTTAAAAAAAATATCAAAATAATTCACATTTTAAAATTATTTTAAAAATATCCTAGTTAGGGTTTGAGATTACACAAGGGCGTCAAATGAATTGACGACACCTTGTTAAGGCTATAAGGGAGTCACCAATTAGTCTGGAGATTCATCATGCAATCTCCAATCTAATTGGCGACTGGGTGTTGTACTTACAAAGGTGTTATTCATCTGGAGACTCCTTGTATTTTGAATTTTTTTTAAAAAAAATAAATTCTTCCAAAAATAATTAATAAAATAAGTTAGAGGGGAAAATAAAGTTATTATTAATTAAAAAAATATATTACATAAACTAATGTTGGCGACCGGGTTGGTCATACTGGCCACCGGTTTCACATCCCCTAGACACCCTAACTCGTTGCGCTCGTCTCCCTCGTTGTTGATTCACGCCTGGTGTTTGAGAAGTTGAAATCTTAGTAATATTCTCAGATGGTTTCCGAAGGATCTCTTGCATTTTCATTAGTTTCTGTGTGTTGAAACTGAGTGTGCGACCCATGCCAAAGTAGTTCGGATGTGATGAAAGGGTCATTGGTGTGCGACTTGGACGGTTGAAGAGGGACATTGGTGTGAATGATTCGTTGGTGAAATGTTGAAATGGTAGTGGTGTTTGAAAGGCATAAGGTTGTTGAGATGGTTGAGTGGGTAGGTCAGGGTATGATGTCGGAGTGTTTTGGCTATGGAAAAATGTTTGGGCGTTATGGCTATGGTATGATGTACCAACGTTATGGCTATATCTTGATGTTGTGTTGGGGCCATAGCCATATTGAGATTCTGGGTAGTAGTGAGTGTGTGGAAAATGGTATGGGGGACGTTATTGGTATTCTAGTTGGGTGTTTGGCATGTTTGGATGGTGAATGGGTTGGTAGCTCTGTTGGGTAGGGGGTTGTGAGTAACATGGCCTTTCTGGTGGGTTAGACGTTGAAGCGTCTTGTGTTTAGGTGGTTTGGTGTGGGTCGTATAAATATATGTCTTCGAAGACAAACCCAGTTGCAATCGATCTGTACCAAGCCATATAATTAATAATTGGTATAGATGGTGTTGCCATCGTGAGGGCAAATCCTCATATACCATACATATGTGTGTTTCGATGATGTCAAAACGCAATCACATGGAAGAATCGGTTTTTGGCACTCTTACCACAAGGCAAGTGCATATCTTATGTCTCTCTTGTGTGCATGTCATGTATATCTAACTAGCTATATTGAGTCCAACATATTTGATATATCATAGGTTGTGTCTAGAAGTGTCGAAATCACAAAAATAAGCATTTTTGCAAAATAACAGGGTTTGAGTCGACCACTCCAGGGGTTCCGGTCGACTCATAAAAAATGTCTAGAAAGTGAATTTTCCACTGGTTGGCGCACGCCGACCTGTGATCGACGCATATCCTGTTACCTTGATAAATTTGTGTTGTCTGGGGAGTTCCGATCAACCGCTGCTCTATTTTGGTCGACCGTTCGCTTCTTTTTCTGCATTTTTCTGTCTTTCCACTTATTTCGAAAAGTGGTTATGTCTGTTACTTTTTGGCATACTATAAATAGATTTTTGCTCATTTTTATCAACAACAATTGAAACATTTGAGTCAATTGCATAAACAAGAAAAGTGAAATAGGTGCCATTAGTTCTCATCATATTCATCTTCAACATTTCATAACACAACAATTACACACAACAATTCTTGTTGTGCATTGTGGTTTGTTTGAAGTGATAACGTTCGAAGCCGTTGATTGGGAATCTGGTTCGGGTTGAGTTTTTTGGTAGGATTTTCTTGAATAAAACCTTGAGGGTTCTGTCCTCCAAGATTGTCTAATTTTGGGGGTTTTTGGTACGAATCTTCTCAACAAACATTCAGCTGAGCGAAGGTGATTGAGGAGCGATGGGTTTCGTCAATCTAGTAGCGGTAATCAGTGAATTGTTAAGGAGAGGTTCGAATTCGATTAGTTTGTGTTTGAGATCAGCCGGGCTGGGGTTTGAAGAACGCAAAGTTGTTTAACAAAGGGGCTGTAATCGGAGGTCTATCCACAATAATCGAAGAACTTGATTCGACTCGAATCAAGGAACAAGAAGAGAGAGCATCTTTAACAACAAAAGAGTTTGTTTGTATATTTGCTTGTCTATTATTGTATAAACGTTTCAACTACAACAGGTGATATCTATAGTATATGAGCTCAATTCTATTGTTAGAATTTAGGGCAGGCGTACCCCGAAGCGAGGACGACGGGGAAACTGTCTCAACAAATCTTTGTGACTTTTATTTTCTGCACTTTCATTTTTGCTTAATAATTGAGTAATTTTAGTACAAACAGTTCTATCAAATTTAGTATTGGTTTGAGTAAGTGCTGAAAATTGTTTTTGACTCTAGCACAATATTTTATTGTACAAAGAAGCTAGAACTACTTACTCAAGGCAAAACTCACTTGGGGTGTGTTTGGTTCGGAGTAGATGGATGGGAGGGGAGGGCACGGGAGGGGGAATTTTTAATTAAATATGTTTGGTTCAAATCTTAGGAGGGGAGGGGAGGGGAGCAAAATCCCTCCAAAACACACTTTTTGGTTCCCTCTGAATTGGGGGGATTTGGAGGGGAGGGGAGGGAATATGAGTTTTGATATTTAAAAATTATTATATTTACTAAAATATCCTCAGTTTAATTTCAGTATTTCAAAACTATTCGTTTTCTTTCGTGTTATTGTTTTTTCTCGATTGTTTCCATCAACTTATTATAATTGTTCTCCACCTTCAAATTATTTTATAGTTTCTATACCTAATATAAATCATAATCATTGTCTTTTTTTATAAAAAAAAATATGTTTAGTTATATTCATTTTTTTCTTTTAATTTTGTTATGTATTCTATCATATTTTCTTTTATATCAAATTGTAAACCATTCATTTTATTTATTTATTTTTATTCATTTTATTAAATAATTTAAACCATTAATATTTAATAATAAGTTAGTTTATATATTTGTTTTGTTATATGATTCATCAGAATTTAAACGATGTTATTGGCATATAGTTTAATTTATGTTGGAAAGTTATAAGTCGAATCAATTGTACTCAATTTTTTAACTTTATGTGACAAATAAATATTTTTTTTAATCACTCAATATTAGAAATTTTATTACCAACAAAAATACGCATGAATTTTACACATTTTAATATCATATGACTTATATAAGATCATAAGGATAAAGATGTAAATTATTAATAAAACTCCTCCTCTCCCCTTCTAAACCAAACACATTTTTAATTAAAATCCCTTCCTTCCCCTCCCCTCCTCTCTTTTGAACCAAACAGATTAAAAAAATAATTCACCTCCCCTCCCCTCCCCTTCCCTTCATTAAAATCCCTCCTCTTCCCTCATCCTCATTTGAACCAAACAGACCCTTGGAGTGCTACGCACGCCAAGTGTTTGATAAATTGTCTAAACCAAAATTCTCTTGT